ATGAGCCACCACGTTGTCTCATTTGATGTCTTAGCGCAACCCAGGGGCAGGGTCAGCACAGCAGGCTAGGGATCAAACCCCCGGCCTCTGCATCTGACTAAGCAGGTGCTTTAATCCGCTGAGCTATCTGGCCAGCCCAAAACAAGACATTTCAAGCTTTCACAAGGCTTTGAGTAGTAGATTCAGACCTTAGAGTCCCACCCAGCTTAAGACTTGAGTATAACTGTCTTTTATTTATTTATTTATTTATTTATTTATTTATTATTATTATTATTTTTTAACCAGGGATCAAACTCAGGACCTTGCACTTGCCAGGCAGGCAATTATGCCACAGAGCTACCTCCCTGGTCCAGTATAACTTAATGACTCGAGAGAAAGAACTAAAGTAGGCAACCAGGGGTGCAGGAAGGTGTCTAAACAGGATCAAAGGTCCTGGTAAAATCAGTCCAGGAGAACAATGGTGATTGCTCCAGTGAGGACAACAGATTCATTGGGGGCTATACAAGAAATAGAGATTTCCACATTGCACTCCACAACCACTGGTCTTATCTCTGGGGCTGGGGAGCATTTTCAGTAGGCATCACAGAGCACAACTCTGAGACCAGATAGATCAGAAACACTGCTTTACACAAATAGGGAGTGGTCCTTCAGGCAGACTGGAAAGGTGACAGGAGAAACAGGAAGCTCCTGTAGGAGGCAACAGGATATAGGAGAAGCCATCCAAGATCCATTTCCCAATAATGGTCAACAGGATTTGGGATTTGATTATAGAAAGAATGAAAGCAAAGGAAATGAGGGACAGTGATAATGTCCACATTTCTGTTCCTAAAATGACAATCATTGAAATGGAAATTCTGCTGCTGAAAGTGGCCATATTCAACTTCTAGTCTATGAATTGTGTACTTTCACTTCCATTTTTCATCAACTTGACACTTATTGAGTACCTACTATGCGCCAAGCAGGGCACGGGTGCTAGACAAAGGGCTACCACCAGCTAAGAAGAGTCTGGTCCTCACAGAGCTCACATTAACAGCAAATTCAATCTTCATATTGTGAAAATGGCAACCAATGAGAAGCAAAGGGTACCTACTGGGGACACTTATAGTAGGGGCATGCAGCTTGGGAGGGTGAGAAACACTGCCTTGAGAAAGAGATGTTTGAGCAGGAAGTTAGGGTGACCATGAGTGACAGGAGCGATCCAGGTGAAGGCACAAAGTATCTGAGGCTGGAAGGAGCAAGGCTAGTGTGAACAGAGCCAACAGCAGAGAGCCAGGCAAGGGTCCCAAGTGAAGTGGGGACACTGGCTTGGGGACCACTGTAAGGATCAGTTTATATCTTAGCAAGAAGGAGCCCTGCGAGGCTTAAGCCTGGTCAGATGGAGAGTTTTAGATATCTGCCCTTAACCGCACAGAATCCTTTCTGTCCAAATTCTATTCT